CCGAATAAATCTGTACCTCGGATATATTACTGATTCCTTTCCCATAAAGAAAGTGTTATTTATATTTCGAGCAAATCGAACGTGATTCCTGGTTTGTGGTCAAAAATATTACATTTAGGCATATCATCCAAAACTTAACCAAACCGAACAATGAATATGAATATGTACATACATATATATTTACATACAAAAAGCAACGATTCTTGGAATATTTGCAACAGTATCAGAATAGTTTTCCTTTACGCGGTTATGAAATTTCGTATATATTTTGTATTTTCGCAAAACTAATGTAATTAATCTACAATTCTGAGCTGCAATCAAATTTATTGCCGTACAATAAAGAGCAATTCTTTGATAAGCTCAGTTAATTTGAGAATTATAAATTAATAAAACCATAAAACTTACTCCAAATACAACCGTACACTCAAATCATATTAAATAAGAAATCTCTAAAGTGATTTAAGCTACGTTTTATCGTTTAAATATAAAAAGAAATCCATTATTTTTCCAATAGATGGCGTCATTTGTCTGTGTTTCGCGTTGTATAAGTCCGAACGGGTTTCGCTAGATGGCGTTAGAAAGAAGACATTTCGTACTAAAAAAAAAACTTTTCTTACAATTTTTCGATTGGTCAATTCACTTTGGTTTGAGCTTGCGTCAAAGATGGGCATTAGCAAAGAGAGAATACACTTTATTTTACAGTTTTACTTCAATGAGGGCGTAAACGCAAGAGAGGCGGCCAAAAATGTGACTTCCTGTAATTATGATGTAAAATATGCTTTACGGAATGGAAAGCCAATTTTCGAAAATGTCGATAAAATCATGGACATTGTCGAGTCCGACCGTCATGTAAGTACTGTTTCGATTGCCAAGAGCTAAAAGTTGCACAAAAAACCGCTTGAAACTATGAATAAGTTTGGATACGAGAAGTAAATATTAAAGCCTTCAATTTCATGCAAAAATAATGGATTTCTTTTTACTACGCCGAATATTTATTAAATTAATGATGGTTTGTTTCACATAACTACTCTCAGATATGTATGTATATACGCTGCTGACTCGACACTGGTATATAGAAAGGTCAATTGTTTGACTACGCATCAGCGTCACGGGTTAAATACCGAATTTGTAGATCACAAAAACAATAGTGAACAAGAAAGAAGTGTTGCATTCGGTTCGTCTTTATATTCACCTCTCAATAACATTTTCAACTTATTGCATGACATTATGGTGTATAAAATAATATTTCAACAAAATTTACGAGCAAAAGATGCGAAATATAAAGTGAAATGAATTTTGAAAATTAAGAGTTCTTCGCCCAAAGAAAAAACACCTCTTTAAACAGTTTTTTTTTTTCGACTGAAGGAAAGGGAAAAAATACAATTTGGGAAGTTGTTATAAATAACAACAAGAGTCCATTGCTGCCAGACATACGTCACTTTATGAAACCTGAGAGTTTGTCTGCGACGGTTCCAACATACATACATACATAGGTAAAGACGATGACGCGACTAATAGTTTTGGGTACTGTCGACTTTGGCACATAACAATGGTCAAAGATGCCAAAAAAAAGCACCTCCAAATGCATTAAAGTACAAAACCTCAGGTTTTTTGTTAATTTATTTAAAAGAATGTTTAAAATATTTCGGTTTCTATATTAAGTTATTTTTAAAACACGTCTTCATTAAATATTTTATCAATTCTTTATTTTGAGCTAGAAGGTATTATTTTTATTTTTACGAAAAAATTAAAAAAAAAAAGTACATACGTGTATCGTAAACCAATTTCAAAGCAATTCCATATAATAAGGTTTGTTTTATTGAGCTGCTCTAGGTTATGCCAAGTTACTATATTTCAGTAAATTGTGTTTGTATTTTGCTCTAATTTGCTCTACTTTTTGTTTCATGAGTCTACTCTAAGCAGAAATAGAGCTACTGAGATCAAAATATACTGCTTGGCAGAGTAACTTGGAGCAAGCAATAAGATTTTCTTTGACAGACGAGTTTAGAAAACGAAAGCGGGCAAAACATAAGCAAAGGATGTTCACCGAGCACAGCAAACGACTTAAATACAAATGACGATAAAATGTATAAATTTTACTAAGAAATATTGGGTTGCCCAAAAAGTAATTGCGGATTTTTCATATAGTCGGCGTTGTGACTCTGTAATTGCATTCTTTCTTCTGTCAGTTATCAGCTGTTATTTTTAGCTTGCTTTAGAAAAAAAGTGCGCGAAATTTTGTTTACATTTGTTTGTTTGGCGTCAATTTTAATATGGAGCCCACAAAGGAGCATTTTCGTCATATTTTACTTTATTATTTCCGTAAAGGAAAAAACGCGGAGCAGGTTGCTAAAAAGTTACGAGATGTGTATGGTGATGAAGCCTTGAAAGGAAGAAAGTGTCAAAATTGGTTTCGCAAATTCCGTTCTGGAGATTTTTCACTTAAAGTTGAGCCACGTTCAGGTCGGCCAAATGAAGTTGATAATGACCAAATCAAAGCATTAATCGAATTGGATCGTCGTGTAACTTAGCGTGAGATAGGAGAGAAGTTAAATATACCAAAATCAACCGTTCATTATCACATAAAAAGTCTTGGACTGGTGAAAAAGCTTGATATTTGGATACCACATGTATTGAAAGAAATTCATTTAACACACCGAATCAACGCTTCTGATATGCACCTTAAACGCAATAAATTCGTTCCGTTTTTAAAACGAATCATAACTGGAGCTGAAACATGGATTGTTTACAACAACGTTAGTCGAAAACGATCATGGTCCAAGCATGGTGAACCAGCTCAAACCACTTCAAAGGCTGATATCCACCAAAAGAAGGTTATGCTGTTTGTTTGGTTTGGATTGGAAGGGTGTCGTATATTTTGAGCTGCTTCCAAGGAACCAAACGATTACTTCGGATGTTTACTGTCAACAATTGGACAAATTGAATACAGCCATCAAAAAGAAGCGACCAGAATTGGTCAATCGTAAAGGTGTCATATTCCACCAGGACAACGCTAGACCGCACACATCTTTGGTCACTCGCCAAAAACTGAGTGAGCTTGGCTGGGAACTTTTGATGCATCCACCATATAGCCCTGACCTTGCACCATCAGACTACCATTTATTTCGATCTTTGCAGAACTTCTTAAATGGTAAAACTTTCGGCAATGATGAGGCTATAAAATCGCACTTGGTTCAGATTTTTTCAGATAAAGGCCAGAAGTTCTATGAACGTGGAATTCTAAATTTGCCAGGAAGTTGGCAAAAGGTTATCGAACAAAATGGCAATTATATATTTGATTAAAGTTCATTCTAAGTTTTATTAAAAATGCATTTACTTTCTTTTAAAAAATCCGCAATTATTTTTTGGGCAACCCAATACATATGTACATATATAAAAAAAAATTGTAAAATGTTTCTATTTTGTTTACAACAAAAAAGTCAAACATTTCCATTTGAAAATTGCTGGCCGAAAAATATTGAATTGAGCCGAGTTGCTCTAACTTGGTCTGTTGTTTTTCTGGCAGTTGCTCGATTCTGCTCGAACATCAGCTTGCTCTACTCTATTTTCAGTCTCAATAAACAAACCTACATTTTACGCTTTGGATTTTTTTCTTTGTCAGACATTTAATCATATTAACATATTGTATTGATATTTAAAAATTATTGAACTAATATTATATGAATTTATATGTAAGTTTAATACGCATGTTCTCGTCTATGGCTTTCATATTCACAATTTTCTTCTTTATTTCAAACACACGTTTATATTATTGATCCTTTTAAAAAAAATTTTGATTTTGATTTGCTTATTTATAAGTAAGTAAGGTTTGGTTTTTCCGCATCCATTGTGCTTGGGTGTCGGCTTTTCTTTCGCTTATTGCTGAAGTTTCTGTTTACACTTTCCTCTATTGTGTTTTTTCTTTCCGCAAACCCGCCAAGTTAATTGTAAATATTTTTGCATTTCCATATTGATTAGAAATATTTGTTTACTATATTCAGAAGTACGTAATATTTGTGATCACTTACGGTTGTGTGCGTCTATTTATGCATACTGTTATAATTCAATTTAGTATAAATATTATTATATGCTTGTGTTTCCACTTCTTCTCTACTCTTTGGTTGCTTTCTGTTGATTGCGCTCAAATAATACATATTTTAATTATATTTTACACACTACATACATACATACATGCTATTTACAGCTGGTTTCAAGTTCAATTATTATTATTCTTTACTATTTGCATGCAATAAATTGCATTAATTATACAACTTTCTGTATTAACCCTTGAACGCAGTGCTTGATTACTTCTCCCACATAATTATTTTATTGCATATTTCTTAATCCTATACAACATTTTATTAATTTTTTTACGTACTTACTTCGTAATATAATGGCAAAAAATTAAAAAAAAAATCGTATTTATTTGACTAACTAACATTTTTTCATGATTTCGTCCTTTTTTTCATATACTCGTATGTACTCATCTGCTTGTTGACCGGCAAATTTGTCTCATACATTAATTGCTAATCTGGACTGATCATACTTAATTAAAACAAAAAAATTAAAATAAATAATTGCAAATATGAAATGGCTTTAATAAAAATATATAAATGAAAAAAAAAACACAAAAATTTATATAATTTAATATTAAATCTAAATTAACATTTGAATTAAATTCAAATTGCAACAATTAAAAATTTATTTAAAAAAAAATTAAAAAAAAAAAATTATAAATTAAAATTCAAATTTAAATCAAAATCAAAATTAAAATTAAAACTTAAATTAATACTTAAATACAATTAAAATAACAAATATAATTAAAAATTAATTTAAAACAAATTATAAATTAAAAAAAAAAAAACATTTATATAAAATTAAAATTGAATTAAATTTGAAACCAAACATAAAATTAATTTTTAAATCGAAAACAATAACTACAACAACTAAATGAACATAAACATAACACACACAAACACCCAACAACAATTGCCGCACAGCAGATCAACGAAGCTCTTGAATTGGCGCTGGAGGCAATTGACAGAGAGACAAAATTCACCGCAAACGATACAACAACAATAATAAAAGCAACGACCAAAAAATTGAAGAAAACAACAACAACAACAACAGCACCCGCTGCGTTCGCAATGGCAACAAATATAACAAGCAACAATAGTAATAATAACAACAACAACAACAATAATAGTAATAATAACAACAATAGCAATGCTCAATTTGATTGTTTGACCGAGCCGAAAGATTCCTCGAACAAAACCGACGAAGAGAAGGAACTCAAGACAAAAAAACAACAATTCGATGCAATTGCTAATGAGCATATAAGCAACAGCAACAGCGATTTCAATTACAACTACAGCGAAAATAGAGGAGAATACAATAATGAATTGAACAATAAAAGCAAAAACAATAACAATTATCACAAAGACAATGAATTTGATAATAATACTATGATTATGATGCAACAAGCGCATGAGACGCAGAAGAGAGCAAAACAGGAGGAGGCTCAGGAGGCCGAGGAGGCTGAAGTGCTCATCTCGCAGGAACCAATTTACGAGAATATCTCGGCAGCGTCTACGCGTCAAGTAGATGCTGAGGCAGGACGAATCATCAAAACTCCAGCGAGGACTTTGAATGGCAGCAACAGCAACAACAACAACAACAATATTAATAATAATAATTATGATAATTTTCAAAACAATTCTCATAATCAAATCAATCAATCAAATATAAGCAAAAACAACAACAGTAATAATAATTTTGATACTGATATCGCTTACGCCAATAATTTGCTAAGTAATTTGACTAACAGTAATGATATTAACAAGACCAACAACAACAACAACAACAGCAACATCAACAGCAGCAATAGTAGTAGCTATACCGCTAGCATTAACAACAACAACAGCTACAACAACAAATACAATAGCAATGTTGATAATAATTGTATTGAATTAACAAATACTTTGGCTAATGCTACAACAATAACAAAACCAACAACTACAACAGCACCCGTCAGCGATATAATAGAAACAACATCACCAACAACAACAACGACTAGTTTCATAGAAGGCAAAACAATGCCGACCACATCACTAAAGACCAGTGAGTTAGCAACAACAACTCTAACAACAAGACAAACAACACAAATTGAGACGCCAACAATAACACAATCAGCTGAAATTAACCCAAATTCTGAACAATACAACACATCAAACAAACCCTCAGCAGCGCATAACAGTACACCGAACCCGCTAGTGGAACACGAACCCTACTATCAAGTGCCCAAGTCCAGCGAACCGTACTACGATGCACCCAAGCACCTGCGCCCCGTGCCACTTTACGAGAATATAGAGGTGTTCTACACGGGCTTAGAGAACTCCACGTTAGCTGGCGGCGCAGGCGCCACACTCGGTGGCGGCGGCTTCAAGCTGGAGCCGCCAAAAGAAAAGCCACCCCCACCACCTATCGAGAGCCCACCACCGTTCGATGATATCGATGGCATTGACAACAACACAGACACTTGGTCTTCGGATAATACATACGAGACGATTTCATCGCATCTGCCACAACTGAACGGACTCGCTGCAGATCATCCCTCGCCGCCGATCAAACGAATGAATTCCACAAAACGCATTAAGAAGGAATTGCGCAATAAACGGTCAAGTTTTCTGGGTATTGACACAACCAATCTGGATGACGAGGAAAGCTTTTTGGAATTAACTGTCGCACCACCGCCAGATATGGCGCAACTATTACAGGAGGAGCGCCGTTTGGAGAAGCAATTGTACCTGAAGGCGGGTCTGTGCGATAGCTCAGATACAGGTGAATTTAAAAATGTGTATTTGTAAGAAAAAGCAAAAACTAAATGCCCAATTTCCATTATATTCCAGGTGAGAGTCGTGACTCAGGCGTCTCGGAGAATCATTCGCGGCAAAGCAGCGAACACTACACAAACTCATCGGAGGAAAACGATCGCCATATCGATTCACCGCCGCACAGCCTCAAATCCAATGAGCTCATCTTTCAAAATGAGGCTCTATTGACTGCAGCACAGACACCGCTATTACAAACGGTGAAGGGTAACTCCGCCGAATCGTGGACTGAATCGGCCACCGTCGCAGCTGCGGCTACAAAGTCACTCACGGAGGCCACCGCCACCGCCAATGCCAAAATGCTCTCCATTGAGGAGAAGATACGCGAACAAGAAGAAGTCTTGCGTGTCGAACGTGAGCTGCTGCAGCTGGAGCAGGAAGAGCTGAAGCGTCAACGCGAAAATTTAATGCTGCGCGAAAATATGGCACGTCGCGAACTGCAACACGGCGCTAAAATGCTTATGTCCGCCAACCGACGCTCACTTCAGGATCTTAATGGTGTGGGCATGTCTTTAGCTGGCGGAGTGCCGCTGCCGAATGGTGCCACAAATCTTTCATACCAAACGGCCGTGCCCCAATATGCGTTGGCGGCAGCGCATGGCATGCAACAACAAGCACAGCAAAAATTCGTCGCACCCATGCTTTCGGCACAACCAAATCAGCAGATTTACGCAAATGTACCAAATCTCGAGCAGCAATACTACCAAGTGGATGTCGACTACCGCAAGTCCATGTCCGATTTGCAGGAATTCTCCAAAAGGCACATGCTGCCACCCATGCCGCCAACAAAACCAATGCGCGCCATGCACGTGACGACTTCTGGAAATGCGCTGACGGCGCCCAATGGCGCCGACGACTTTATGGCACAGCGGCACACATTGAACGCACAAGGCTACGGTGGCTCACTGGTGAAGATAGCCGCGCCTACAGCAGCGCCGCGTGGTCATACAATATACAACAATAACAATAGCAACAATAATCAGCAATACCAACATCAATCCACGCAGAACCTGTGCACGGTCAGCGGTGGCAACAATAACATTAGTGTCGTAAACGCCGTGCCAACGGTGGCCAACGCGCAAGCGGCACTGCCGGGCAATATGTCACGCAATACACTGCATGCGCTTAGCGCGACACCAAAACCGAAGTACACCGACGGTTGGGTACAAGTGCAGCAACGTAAATCTTACGATACCAACTTAGCCAATGATCCTGCTTGGCTGTCGGCATACCAGCAGAAGCGCAAGTCCATGCCGGAGCCCTACCATCACGCTGCCTACAACAACCACTGGCTCGTGCAGGAGGCCGAACAGCGGCGCATTGCTGAGCAGCGTCGCGGCGTCAGCTCTTCGGGTACAACGCCGGTGCATCAGCAAAATGGCATGAAGAGTGCATCAGCAAATGGCAATAGCAATGGCAAACCGCTGCCCGATTCCATCATACAAACGCTAACTGAGCGTGTGCAGAGCAAGGGCATTGGCGAGCGGAAGAGGTGAGTTTTGTGTAGCAAAAGCTCAGTGCGTTTCAGTATCACAACAAATTCTTTGCTGATTTCATTTCCATAGATTTGACAACTACAATAATCCGAGCGCCGCTTTGGATAAAAGTCCGTTACACGCGGCCTCCACTTACTACCAACAACACCAACAGCAATTGACGCCGAATCATCAGCGGCATCTTAGTGGCTCGGCGTTGGCTGCAATGCCGCCGCCACAAACTAATGTGAACGCATTGACGCCGCATCAACAACCACAGCCACAGCAGCAGCAGCAACAACAGCAGCAGCAGCAGGATAAGGTGCTGAGCGTGAGCGGCAAGAAGAAGTGTTCACATTGTGGCGACGAATTAGGTAAAATTTGCTACTACGTTGGTTGTGAGTGTTTAAATGTTTAAAATCCCTCTATATACAACAACAATAATCAATAGCAAAGTAATAGATTTGCGTAGACTCACGCATTCACATACATACATACATGTATGTAGTTGACTTTAATCGTTCACAGGTCACCGCAGTTTTAGAAGTTCATTTTCTCGCAGAAATGGAAAATTGTAAATTTATTAATTTATTTATTAATGGCGAATTTTGTAAATTACGTAGATTATACTGAATATTTTTTATTTTTTATTGGCAGATATGTGTAATTTGTGTTAGCTTCAGTTGTTGTATATTTTGATATTATATTATCTACTACATGTAATGAGCTCGTTACAGTCGCAAACATGCCTACATAGCCACTTACACTCATAAGTTTTTTCATTTTACTGCCTTTAAAATTTGTTGTAGTTAGATTTTTCGTTTCCACCTTTCGTCATTTTCAGCCGAGTTTCATGTAATTACAAATAATTGTCTTTCTCTCATTCAAATTCTACAATAAAATTTCTTCTTTACATGCCTGGCCGACGAGCGCAGACGCCAATGGCTGCACAGAAACCTCTTGTCGTCATGTGCATAAGGCTTTGAAGTATATAGTTTGGGTGTAAAATGTGGAATAAAAAAGTACATACACGCACACAAGCAAGATAACAGCAACAACGTATGTTATATTTAAATATTCTCTTGAACATTTTATACCCGGCTACACTGTGCCTACAGGGGTCGCCTCCAACGTCATAGAAACCCAACATAAACATACACATTCAAATATCATAATTGACAGAATAACAAAACAAATTTGTACGTTTAACCGCTTGCCTGTCCGTCTCTTCGATTGTAGCTCTGAACGTCTCCGAAGAGAACTTTCGCAAATTTTGAAATGTCTGTATGACACTTGATGTTTTTAGACTACGGTTTTCTGCTCATAAAGCGAATAATTTATTCCTCGTTTGAAGGCAGAATCAAATACTAGTAAAGCATATTTCCCATGCGTACATTTTTAGTGTTCAAAAAATCAAAAAAACTTTTTTTTTACTGTTGGAAAGTCAAAATCGACTATTCACTCTCACCCCTATGGTGATTTCCGAATTATGATATTTCTAAAAAAAAATAATTCTTCTCCCTGTCATTGGTCCAATCATTGAGCCATTCTTCTATTTCTTCAAAATCAATTTGACTCCGTCGACAATGCTTTGCATCAATGATTTCGCCTGGGTTGAACCAGTAAATCTACCAATTCCTCATCTTCAAACCGCTACCTTTTGGGTTGGCTAGGAGACTTTTTATCTTCGACACTAAAATCATCACTTATGAAGCCTTGACGGAAATTTTGCTTAAATGCCACCAAAAGAAGTCATTTTTGCATCGGATACAAGGGTGTGCTCTATTATGAGCTATTGAAATCGGGTCAGACGATCAATGGCAACTTCTACCGAAAACAATTGCTTCGTTTAAAAAAGACCATCGCGGAAAAACGACCAGAATATGCGACCAGACACGCATCAATAATTTTTCATCATGCCAACGCTCGGCCACATGTTGCAAGTACAGTTAAAAACTATTTGGAAAACTGTGGGTGGGAAGTTCTACCCGCCGTATAGTCCAGACATAGCACCTTCCGATTACAACTTGTCCAGATCAATGTAGAATGCCCTCACCGGAGTACGCTTCACTACAGAACAGGGTATCAGAAATTGGCTCGATTCTTTCTTGACCTCCAAGCCAGAGAAGTTCTTTTGGGATGAGATCCACAAATTGCCAGAAAGTTAGGCAAATATCGTAGCTTCCGATGGGCAATACTTTGAACATGAAATTTTCGAAAAAACCCCGCACGAATTAATGCACAAACCCTATACTAAGAATTCCTTCTGAACCAAGACCTACTGAATAGATGCTGTAGACTTCCCCCAAGAAAAGCATTTAACCAGATAGACCTAACGAGCGATTCGAAGAGTATTTAGCATTTTAGTTATGTTGTTACAAACAAGTACTTAGCCCATCCGTTGCGGGAAGCCAAAATGCTACTACTTCTACTAATATTCCAATTTAACGGGGCAATATAAGTACATGATTTCTAGAATCTACCTTTGTACCATCTAAGTTAACTCGGTGAGTGATCTGATCAAGCATTTGATTCTAACTATCGTAAAGCGGCAAATTCTATTCTACTTTTTCGTGTCAATACATTAAGAGTCTACTCAGTACAATATTTTTTATCTTCAAAATTTCAGCAGTGAATGTCTTGAATAAACCCATTGATCGTAGGTGAGATTCCTTACGGACGACGGACTTGAAACATGAACAACAGCCGGGTGTCTAATGTTCGGTAAAATCCGAGCCTCAACCAAGTGTTTCTCAAATTCCTGTTCGCTTTTCAATTTGGCCCAAGGTTAACACCAAATTAAAATTATACATTTAACTACAGAGTTGGTTTCGTTTAGTGAGTTTCCAAATATTTTTGAACAAATCTTTAGGAAGAAAAATTAAAAAAAAACGTTTATGAGTTGTTCATATTGATATTTTCTACGAAACTAACACAAGAATGCCTATTATACCAAAAGTGAGTTTGATCGCTCAACAAAATGTTGTTGTTAAAGTCAGAATCTGTGGACATCTCGATGGTTGTTTGGCATCAATCGTTGCACGATCTGAATTTTGTAGGTCGGCAAATCGAAATCCTTTCGATAAATCTGCCATAAAGTGGATGTGCGCAGCTACTACTGTTGCGCGCGATGGCAGATGAACTCATTGGAGTCTTCTTCGATACTCTGCTTCACAGCACTATACGGAGTCACTGAGAAAAAGTATTGCCTCATTGAAAACCACACACCTAAAAAACACCCCTGGATTACATTTGAAATGTTCATGTCAGAGGAACTTTGAATCGAACTCCGACTGACTTACGCTGTTTGCTGAAGGAACTTACAGCATTTCCATTACCCAGAAGACTCTTTAAATTAATAGAAAAGTTTTCAAAAACGAATTTAAAGTCATGTACCGACAATACAATTAAAAGAGGCGTGGACATAACGGAATCTAAACGAATGCACAGCTTCTTTTTTTTTTTAAAGGACTACATTATGATATCTTGATGGTGAATTCTCTAGCCAAGTTGTTTTATCCAAGAGTTTTTTCATGATACTGAAACTCTCAAATCTTGAGCATCTGTCTGGGCAAGCAACTAAATATTTGATAATTGAAGTTCCAATCAAATTTAATTTAACTTTTTATTCAATAAATATGTTATTAATAATTTTAACACTTTTTTTTTACCGAAAACAGGACGCGGCGCTGCCATGATCATTGAGTCGCTGCTGCTCTTCTATCACATCAATTGCTTCAAATGCTGCGTGTGTCACGTGCAACTCGGCGACGGTTTGAATGGAACAGATGTGCGCGTGCGCAATCACAAATTACACTGCCAAAACTGTTATTCCAGTGATGATGGTATAAAATTCAGTTGCGTCTGAGCGGAAAATGTACAAAAAAAAAACTTATTGTTGGCAAATGAGAATTTTTGTTGTTGATAAGGCAAAGTTTTTTAACAGCTATCATCATCATAACCACATAACCAAGCAAAAATGAGTGCAATGCATACATAAGTGCAATCACATGCACATACAAATGCGTAGATTTGAAAATCGTATGCGAGGAAAACCAAAAAAATAAAAAAAACTTTGCTGAAATGCTGTTGTATGCGTTGACGAGTCAAAAATATTTGATTTCAAGCTGAAAAATAAAAAGAAAAATTCAGTAAAAATGTTAAATCATTTTTCTTTTTTCGTATATATTTACACATCTCAATGTTCATACAGACACGCAAACATATTTACACTTTTTAAAAGTAAAAAAACAAAATCAAATTATTATAAATTTTACATTAAATGAATTTTACAAAATATTTAGACATAATTATATGTATGTATGTATGTAACTAAATACGTATGCTAAAAATGCTTATGAGACAAAGAAGAAAAAAAAGAAGAAAGGAGAATTGATGAAATCTACAATAATATGTGTAAAACGCAAAATATATTTACACGTTATATACGTTATGTGCGTACTTGAGAACTATTTATGTGCAGCTTTTTGCTAACTGACGAACTGTTGAAATTTTTGCCAATTTTTTTCCAATTCGATTTAATATAAAATATATATATAGATATATCTAACGCTATCGGTATGCGTTGTAGCCTATAATATTTACATAAAAGCATACTTCCACACATACAAACATATATGTATATCAATTGTTAAAATTAGGAAAAAAATTCTAGTTAAAAATCAAAATTTTGGGGCGCATTAATAGATTAATAAATGCAATAATAATAACAACAAGCACATACATACATATGTCAGAGTTCTGCAATGAACGCCGGCGAAAGGAGGAGAGATAAATGCATCATGTCCTCCTCATGCAGATTGATATACAAAATTGTATGGATCGTGCAGATCTCTGGTACATATCACGTAATACAGACCGACACAAATCCATACATATAGTGCATACGAGTATGTACATAAATATGGAGCGAACTGTTTGTACAGGCGAATGATCATATATACACGTACATACGTGTACATGAATGGAGCGCTAGAAAAAGGAAATAACTACAAAATTCACGCCTACATATACATACATACAATTACGTGCATATACATATTAATTACTTTGACTCTTTATGGCAAAGTTTTATGCTCTAAATGAATGTTGAATTTGAAAAAAATATGATTGTTGTTACATGTTAAAGAAACGTTTGAAACACACACACACACTTTTAACCTAATTATACAATACATAACTACAAAATATATTAATGTTAGAAATCTGAAAATCAAGTCAATTGGCAAAACGACAATTGCATAAGAAAATATAAAAAATTTACATTTTTTTCGCATATTTGCTGTACATAGACAAACACAGAATTATATAGTAACATATAATTCTACTCTTCCGTTTAACTAAATTGTAATATACACGTACATACATATTTTCTCTACTTAAAACTTGAATTTCTTTGGAATTATTCGTATAATTGAAGAAAAAAGCATATAATATTGTATTATCATTTTTTAATACTTAAGCAATTTATTTAACTTTATGTAATTAGAAACACAATTACATGCATATAAAAATAATAAAAACACATCTATATACATACACATTTTATTTACTCTGCTCTGTATTAGTTTTAAAAGGATTTATGTAAATATTTTTTTCGCTGAATATATTTATTTATAGTTCTTATGTGCAACTAATAAAAAAAAACTTAAAAATATAATATAAAATAACAATCACAATGACTTTTTATTATAATTTACTCGCCCTCGGATGTTTAAGTTGTTGGACCAAATATCCGCCGGGTTTCTTTGATTATTTATTTCGTTTATTTTATTTTGTTTCATTTTATTTTTTTTTATTTTATTTTATTTTATTTTTTTATTTTATTTTATTTTATTTTTATTTTATTTTATTCTATTTTATTTTATTTTATTTTATTTTATTTTATTTTATTTTATTTTATTTTATTTTATTTTATTTTATTTTATTTTATTTTATTTTATTTTATTTTATTTTTTTTATTTTCTTTTATTTTATTTTGTTTTATTTCCCTTTTATTTTTATCATTTAATTTAATTATTTTTTCTTTTATATATTTTTTATTTTATTTTTTAAATTATTGTAACATAATTTATTTCAAGTTTTATTTATTTTTTTAGTTATTCTTTTATATTCGTTATTATTTTGTTAATGTTTCTTATAAAGTATTTAACCATTAGCGCCCACACCTCAGTTTCGCCCCATAGCGGTCATACAGGGCTAATTATTTACTCCACCTGGAAAAACACAATTATGAAAGTACCATGGATATTTTAATATTTTCTTAGCATCAAATCATGTTTATTAAACTTTGTGCAGGTGGTCTAAGCTTGGTTCATTCTCAATTTTGATACGTTTAATACGTCTAATTTTACACCCCCTGAGCCTGGGGTAAATAATTAACCCCGGTGGCCGCTAAGGGTTAATTTACTTTTGTTTTATTTCATATTATTTTAATTTATTTCATTTCCTTTATTTTATTTTATCATTAATATTATTATTATTTTTACTATTATCATTATTATTATGAAAATTAATTATTTTTCTCAACGTTTAACTCAAATTTTTTTCCATTCACGACTTCATGTCGGTTTTAACACATTTTTAATATGAATCCTTGCAAATTGTCGATAAATAAAATTAGTTATTCAATTGATTAAAATTTATTACGAATTTTAAATACAGAAACTAGATATGTTCAAAATATATATATACTTTGCTGTATAAATAACATACACGTGACAAACGATAATAATTTCAATCATTTTTTTTTATTTTAAACAATGGATTGCAGATGGTAAGAGCAGTAGAAAATGTTGCTAGACATGAGTATGTATACGCGGTATCTTATTTGGTTTTATTAAGCATTTGCATACTTTTAGGCATTTTCAGATTCTTCGTAATGAAACCTAGTGCAAAGTGATGTGGGAAGGCTCGATGGCGATAAAAAAGTCGAAGAGGTTCGATGTTATTAGAAGTTCTCTGATAATCTACGAGAAACGACATCTCTGCGTAGGATTAAATTAATTGTGATCGTCCTTCTTACAGTAACCAGAGAGAGCTGAAATAGAACAATGTAATAATGAAGTTACACCAAATTCATTATCGTCGATTTATTTTGCATTTTCGTTCACACCAAATTCGTCAGTGACTTCTGTTTGTTCACTCATCAGTTGGTTTGGAAGAGTTCGCGAGTTTACTTAAATTGGGGCGTACCAATAAAAGAGTCGAAGATAACTTACCTGAGCCAGCAATCGAAGATAGAATGGATGTCCACAGAATGCTGGAACTCACACACAGCACACATAGATAGCGCAATCTGGCAATCATACAAATCATCCTTTTGGCATCAAAATTTTATTATCATAAAAATGTCCTCTATTTATCCACGAAATTTGCCGAAGCTGCCTCCTTGACTTCATGAGCGGTGATACATTTTTTACTCCTCTGCTCTTCTCTCATTTTAGGAAACAGGTATTAATCACTCAGGGTCTGGTTTGGACTGTAGGGTGCGTGATTCATATATCAAGGCCTACCTTATGCAGAGTAAACAAAGCGACGGAGCTCTTGTTTTTACGAAGACGTGAGAATCCTTGACACCCATCTTGCGCTGACTTTAGTCATGCTAAGATGTTCGTACGGAATTTCAATAATGAATCTAGCGACTACTCATTAGCCATACAAATTTCTTGCTTCTTCCTTAGACGAGCATCGTCGAAGTGAATTTTTTAAAGTTTTCGAATGAGTTCTGGCGCGGTCACATCGATGCTTCTGCTCGGCCTCGTGTCGTTTTAAAGAAATCTCCTTCGTTGATTTAATTAATTGTGGCAACTGTACAATATAATTCTCGTTCATAACGAACGCAATTGATTTTACTTTCTTGGCCATGAACTTTATAACGGCACGATCTCCGATTTTTGGAATATTTTACATTTCAATTCCGATTAGTTTGCATAACATCGAAACCTTATATTATATTTATACAAATTAAAACGCTCCCTCGTATGAATAGTCAACTTTAAAATTTATTTTATTTAGATTCATAAACATGCCACAGGATACATTTTCGTATTTTAAACTACTCTTTTCTCATGCATACACATACATGCATATGTATATGTTATGCATGCATATAAGTACTGCGATCATAAAAGTCACTCATCCGCCATGTTGGCAATTTTGGGAAAATACTTAAAAATATAAAATAATGTTGATAATACTTGAAAAATGCCTATAGATAGATACGTATATGTACGTAATTGTCAAAAATATTAGCAAACAAGAAATTAAAATTTACAGAAAAACAATGTAATGAAAATTCTTAAATTCTCCTAGTAAACTCAAGTCAAAATAATCGCTTAAATCGATTTTAACAAATTTAAACTTTTCACAAAATTTTTCAAAAATATTTTCATATCACTAATGTCTCATATATACATAACTGAAACTAAGACACCTTTTCTTTATACTCTGGAAGCAATATATTACGAGAAAAATTAATTCCGTACGTTTTCTTGTGTTAAAAAAGAGTTTTCCATTGAAAAAATGGTTAAAAGAATACAATATTCGAATTTCTTTCTTCCTTAATTTCGTTCAGAAGCGACACACTTTTACCAATCTCTGTAATAATTACCAAATAACATCTCTCTAAAAAGGGACTACTTGAAAGAGTATTCCACAATGATTGCAGTCGAAATCAATAACTGTGTTGTTGATTTCTCTGCAGCATACTATTTTTCTAATTCTACGTATGTATGTATATTAAAGAAAAAATTCAAATATTAAAAATTATCTATTACATGTAAGCACCTTTTGGGTATTAAATGAAAAGTCAAAAGTCTCCCTGAAACAAAAAAATACATTTCTTTCGACTTTGTCCTTCTTAAAATTGGATTCGTCCTGTGGCTGCTACCATAGCTAGATACTTCCAGCTTCCGTCTAAAATTCCATGAGCAGTTTGTCACCTACTCGATGTACCAAATGAAGACGATCTTTCCAATTTGCAAGAAGTCTTCCTCTGCCTCTTTGAACTGTGTCAATGCCACCGTATATCTCGAGCAGCTTATACCTTATCGTGTGTGATATTTGACATTGCCAATGCAAAAAATTAACATGAAATTCCGCAATTATGTTAATGTCCACACTTCTGCACCGCAGAGCAGGAAGCGAATGATGAGTAGCCTTCAAAGTCTGGTTTTATTTGGTTGAGAGATCCCAGTGTTTGTCAACTAGAAAAAAATAATATTATTGTTCACTGCCTCGTTCATTCGCTTCTTTTGCTAGTCAACTCTGGAGGTAATGAAATTAATTGAAAGATTACTAAGGCACGCAGCTTCCTTTCTTGCTATCGAGACCGTTTTTTAGCTCAACAAAGAGATGGAGTATTCTATCCTTCGACTCAAGGCTTGTATTTAAGGGCTAAGACATAATGAAAGCGTTCCATCTTATATTCAATATCCTCGTCGTGAAACAGATTTACGCTTTGACCTATACCCATAAAATTTGCAAGCTTTTTGTAAAAGTATATTTAGCCTTCCTTTTTTTGTCTGCAAGTGTGGCTCTCTTAACTCCCTCTTCGGCCGTAAATATTCTCTCTACAAGGAAACAGGGTTTCCTTAGCAGCAGTACACAGATGGGTTCAAGGGTCGAGAGGTTGACTAGTGCACGCTCAGAAAAGAAGTACGGTACATGCAAAGAAATTGGATTTTATTTTAGTTTGTGGATGCTACAAAGAGCACTGGAAAAGAGGCATATCTTTTAATCGCTCTTTCTTCAGATTTTTCTCTTTCATGTGATGCCCAATTTGCTACTGAAGCTTTAAAATATGAGTGAATTAAACCAAAAACAATTTCTTCTTGACATAACAGGGAAGACTTAAAAGTATTGTCTAACAGTGATGTTTTTTCTCCAGCTTAGCAAATAATTTCACTTTTTTGTCGATTTCTAAAATTTTGTAAATTTTACCACCCGACGTATCACCCAATCTTTTAATCTCTTATTGTCTTGAGATTTTCAAACTCAATTTACGGTACAATTTGCAAAACCTTGTTAACTTAAAATGTGCTCTTTCATTACACGCACATCTCTCTTAGTTTACCATTTGCAAACCGATAGCCGTGTCCCACTCACGCGACTCGGCAAATTTAAACGCGTTCAACCATTTATTCTCCATTTCATCGTAGCGATCAATCGCCTCTCCGGAAACACTGTACAACTTATTGTCAACGGCGAAAATTTCATAAAACTCGCGCTCCTCCCAGAAATTGATGACATCCCAGCGATTGGCGCGCAAATCGAATCGTTCCATGCAACTACCGAGACCCTCGCAACAGTAGATGTACGACCCAAAGGTGGCACTTGAGCAATAACTGTTCACCTCACGCATAGCGGGCATCTCCTGCCATTGCCCGACACGCGGATCATAGCGCTCCACCGAGTACAGTGAATGATGATCCGTCTCGCCGCCCATCACGTAGAGTGTGTTGTCTATTGCATTAAAATAATATAAAAATAATGGTGGTTAGCTTAGAAAACAGCTTTATTTAGTGTTCCATTGCACGCTTACTCACCGCACACTACAGCGCCCATTGCATTACGCTTTGCCAACATATTCTCACGAAAAGTAGCCTTATTCGTCACCAAATTCAAACACTCCACGGTACAAGTGGCCCCTTGTAACGTATTCCCGCCGAGCGCATACAAACAACCATTCAAAATTACCGAACGATGATGAGAACGCTCCATCAACAGGGGATGCAAATCATGCCACTGATCGCGATAGATGTTATAATAGAAACACTCGCGTGTGCTCCGACCCACGCTGCCTCCTTGAGCGTATAGTATGTTCTTGTGTGCCGTTAAGCTAACAGCAAAGGCCGGGCGGGGCAACGGTTGCAGCTGCGTGGCCTCCTCGAATGTCAAATTGAAACGTTGCAACTCCGGCTTGCGACCCATTTTGTCCAGTACGAAGATTTGCCATTCCATGCTGTCCGCGCTGTGCAAGACATCACGTAACCAATTTTGGCTCTCCGCACACTGTTTAAGTATGGGCAGTGAACGTGTCACTTCGGCTGAGACGCAGGCTGGGTGTATATAGCGTAAGAGCGGTGCCAAACTGGCTGTGCGCTCTGCAGGTCGATGCTCGGCCCAACGCGTCAGACCACAGAGCACAGCGTCGTCTGAGTGCACGTAAAGAGCATCGTTGGCCAAAATATTGCTGAGCTGGGAAGGAGAAAATTTGGAGATACTCAGATGTAAGATCTAGACTTGTCACTGTATGAAGATAATTGGAAATTGCTTGGTCGAGAAAATATGGGAATGTGAGATAATGGAACGATGAGCTAACTTAGAACATAGCCATTGAAAACTTGTTCTTGCTGTCGGGGCATCCAGTTCACTTTGGGTTGTTAGCACTTGAATAGATACGGCAGTAAGTTCTGGCTTGCGCAGGCTTAAACCAGTTTAAGTGGGAATTATAGCTTTCTCCACTTAGGGCATGTACGGAAATATGCTGAGGATTCTTCTGAAAACTGATATACTTCACGAAGCAATTATTGAACGTAACCAGTCACTAAACGGTTCTCACTACTAATGCCTCAGTAACTACTAGTTACAGTCGAAATATACTACCAGTCGAAGTAATCCATTTACTTTGGATCTCTCTGATGAAGATCAAGTATTGAGGAAGCTTCAACCACAAACTTTTGATAAGGAAGGCGACTGGATGAGTGGAATTCCCAAGCTCTTCTCGACCAATTACCATATATTGCTCCAGCTGGATTTTACTCGACCTCGCACACCTTACTCTTCAACATAAACGACTTTGAGGGAGAACTTGTACGATCCACTTCTTACCTCTGAATAACTCATCTCCAGAAACTCCTCATTCTTCACCACCTCTTTGAAATGAGTTATAATGTATTGACAAGCGGAGTCCAGCAGCGTGAAGTTATTTTGCTTCTCTGGAATCGTAAAAGATAAATTGAAATTTAATCAAAGAATGCTTTGTTTGGCTCAACTCCTTAGACACCTGCGAAATGTTTAAAACCCAGACAATTCTCAGCATCCAACTGCACGCACATATATTCCGTACACAAATCCAGCAAATGTTCCAACTGTAGAAATGCCGCAGTCTCCAACAACTGTTGCACACAATCCACATAATTGTCCAGGTGTCCGGTGTAGATGAAATCAACGGCTAACTCCAAGCAATGCGGATCCATTTCATGAATGTGAACCTCGCTCTGCGAACTCTCCGGAAAATTGCCTACAGTAATTGTATGTTACAGATATATGTATATATATTTGCAGATATATATTAGATATGTGATGATTTTACCACCAAACATAGCCTGAAAGTAAGGGCTCGCTGCGGCGAGTATATTCCGATGGGCCACAATGCGAACATCGCCACAAATCAGACAAACGTCCGTATACTGAAAATAATAAATAAATGAGCAACGGTAATGTGCATTGTGAAGGCTTAAAAAAAGAAAGAAGTGCTGTCTGCGGTCATTTATTGTATTGTATTTTATGAATTAATATCTCGTCTTGAGATCTCCTTTTGGCGGTTTTTTACCTAAAACTTCAAATCTGAAATTCGGTTGTAGGCATTTGAACTGGTCAGAGTTCCGATAAGACAATAAAAAAGTACAACCGCGTAAAAAGTTTGGTTAAAATATCCCAAAAACTGAGCGTCAAATTTGCATATGGGCAGTCAGACTAGACTAGACGGACGGACATGGCTACATTAAGTAAACTTGTCTTTCTTATGCGATCGTTATAATTTTTAGCGAGTCTCTTTCTCCTTCTCCACGTACTTCTATATCATTTCATGTTAAAAAAAGGTATAAAAACATGTAGGCGTGGCATGAACCAATTAATTGCATTGCCTGCCTTCCGAATCCCTCACGCGGCTGACACAGATCACTTACCTGTTCTCTTTTACGGAACTCATTTAGCTGCACCAGTAGCGCTTCGGCGTGCTCATTTTGCAGTGATTGTGCTGCCGCCAGACGCCCATTGGCACCGCTGCCTGCGTAACCTCCGCCGCTGCTACCGCTCATTTTCCACAATAAATTCCCACGTCTGCGATTGTGAAAGCTACTTTGCTCGTGATTGTTTTGATATCCGCTGTTATTGTTGTAGTTATAGTAGTTATTGCTACGAATACCTCTGGCGCCGAATTTCGCTCTGATTGCTCGATTTAATTAGCTGCATTTATTTTTCAATTTTGCACACAAATTTTTCACTGACCACATTTTTTGTTGCTTTGCTCTTCGCTTCGCTTTCAGATTCTGTTTCTATGCTTTATGTTTTCGATTTGACTATTGCTGGTTACTACCCTCCGGTAAGGGTGTCATTAGTGATTCGGGACTGCAGAGTGAAATGTAAAAAACTTGGGGCATGCGCAATGGGAAACGCCTTAATTCCTTCTGTTTTGGTATTACGAATACGGAGGCAATGGAATTTGAGCAAAATAAACAACCAACAGCTGTTGATTACAACCAAAAATTTTCGAAATGCGCTGTTGCTTCAACGGAGTTGGGGGTGTGATGTGAGGCTCTTGTCGAGGCTTTGCAATGGCAACAGTTTAAATTTTTGTAAAACGAACAGGATATCGGTGTTGGAATACTGGAAACACTATAGCTATTAAAACTGGTAATAATAATTGGCACTTTGCAACCACCGAAAAGATTTTCGGCCGAGCTCCTGCTCCAATTTGTGTATGCTTTGGTGGTCGAGCTGCCCCGTCTACTTCGACTGGGCATTTGCGAAACGTTTGCTCGATTTTAAATTCTTTTAGTTTCTTTCAACCATCGTAAAAGTTGTGTCGTCTCATTCGGCTGTAGGTTAGACACCCGCAAAGGTGCTTTCGTAATCTTCTATACATGTTCTGCACTTAGCCGATTCCAATTTACCTAACTTGTGGAGTTGATATCTCAGGGGTAGATTCCACATGAATACACTCACAAGAATACTAAGTTCTCATTTGCTTAAAGTTCGTTCCTACGGTGGAAGCTTTCCTGGACCTTAAGTGTGCCTTCATCGTACTCGGTCTTAAACAACATTTGAAGGTCTAAGGCAGTTAATGGCGACAACATCGCCTACGGCGTCAACGTAAACCATCTCATCCACCTTTTCATTGCCTTCTACACTCCTTTGACCTGGTAGTAATGTTGTATTCTCTGTGTATTCTCGTTATTGTATTAATTGCCTCTTTGCATGTTCTAAAGCATTTCGACTTTGTGCTGACTGCCTACCTGAAGCTTGGTGGATTTTCCCAATAAAGCGGTAGACCATCTGGCAGCATATATAATACCTACAATCTCCTCTTGGAACACAGACTATTAGTTAGTGAGTTTCAAGCTACTTTGATTAATGGCATAATCCCAGGAGAACACTGCTCCTGTCTCTGCATCACATTTAGATTCATCGCTATAAATAGAGATGTCTTCACGGTTATCGATCCGCCCGCCATACGTCCATTTTTAGAGCCAAGTGTGTAGAATATTTATACGGCTAGTTATTAGCGCTGCTTCATGCAACATTTGTATGTTAATTGACTGGATGACAGGCGTGATTTTTGGACCTTTGTTGAGGTAGTCCACATTGCGCCTGCTAAACCACGTAAAGAGATTCTTTACTGCCGCCCACCACACTAATCATCCATATGTTAGTAAGGGTCTAACGGCAATTGCGTAAAATCAACCCATCATATGAGGTCGTAGGCCCCCCTTGGGTGCAATAGCTGTTCGAATAAAAGTGAATACACGATTTCAAGCTATACAAGAATTTTCGAAGGCACATACGTGTTCAAAAAATATCGCGAATTTTTAATTTTCGCGGGTTACGTATAATCGAATTTAGATTTTTTTGTGGCGTTATGTTGTTACTCATGTCTGCTTGTGTATGCCGACAAGCTCGGCCATTTTGAATGTTCACTTAATTGTTGACAGCTGCTTTGCTAGCACGTGTTTTGGATGGTCTTCGATTTTCACCTATTCAAAAAATGGATCAAAGAACCTGTATCAAATTTTGTGTGAAAAACAAAATTAAGTGCGCGGATGCATTCCGAATGTTGACGGTGGCATACGGAGAAGCTCCCTTGGACCGAAGAAACGTTTATCGGTGTTACAAAATGTTCTCAGAAGGCCGAGAAGATGTGAACGACGAAGAGCGTGCCGAACGCCCGAGCACTTCAACAACAGACGAAAACATTAATTGCAGGGGCGTGGTGCATCATGAGTTCTTGCCATAGGGTAGAACGGTCAATAAGAAATATTACCTGCAGGTTATGCGCAATTTGCGCGAAGCAATCCGCCAGAAACGCCCGGATTTGTAGAAGAATAAAAATTGGCTTTTGCACCACGATAACGCGCGACTCTTTGGCCAAAAACAACACACTAATGATGCCGCAGCTACCGTACTCCCCTGATCTGTCCCTCTGTGACTTTTTCATGTTCTCTAAACTGAAGAGACCCATGAAAGGACGACGTTACGCTACGATTGACGAAATAAAGACGGCATCGAAGGAGGAGCTGAACAAGATAAAAAAAAATTTTTTTTTGAAGTGCTTGGAAGATTAGAAAAACCGTTGGCATAAGTGTATAATATCTCATGGGGATTACTTTGAAAGGGACAAAATAGATATTCATTAATAAGTAAATAATTTTTGGAAAAACACAAAATTCGCGATATTTTTTTACCATAAACTGTATTCAATAGTAAAATAAGTCAACTTTAATTTAATTTTTTTATTTTCAATTTTTAGTTTTTATTTCAATTTCATTTTAATTTTTTTTTTTTTATCTTACAAATTAACAAATATGCAAGTTTCACAATTTTTGTGTGGATTTTGAAATGTAATGTTGGTTCTTCAAACTTTGCTTTCCTCCATTGTTCTCTGACTAAAACCTGCTTACGACATTTCACATACACATAAGTAAATACAAAACAGTACATAGAAAAGATAATTGATTAAATTATTAATTTAGACACTTGGTAATATATTAAAACTTAAAAAGAGAAATATTTTTTTGTTTTCTTCTTTCTTTTTTTTTAGAGTAATAGACAGAAAATAACAGTATTCACTACTGTTCGCCAATTTGACTTGCACAAAATTTACTACATACTTTTAAAATAATAATAATAAAAACGAGTTTAGCTTCAAAAAATAAAGCAAATTGCAACTAATCACTAAAATACATACGTACATACATAAATAAAGAATTTCCAACATTTTATTTGTTATTTGTTATTTTTTTTTGTTTTTGTTTTTGTTTTCGAATATAAAAACACAAGATTTATGCAGCAAATGCAAAAGAAATTTCGCATCACTGCCGCTGCCCATGTGAATGTGTGGTGTGTTTCAGTGTTTGAGTGTGTGTTTGTGTGTGTGTGTGTGTGTGTGTGTGTGTGTGTGAATGTGTGTGTGTGTTAGACACCATTCGTGTGTTACATATGTAAGAATGCAGCAGCTGCTGGTCGCATTTACTTGTACAGTTTCCTCTACCAAACTTCACACTTGTGCACGGGATTCATGCGTGATCCGTCCGGACAATTGAAATCACGCGAAAAGTCTTTCATATTGCTGAAGGTGCCCATAACGCGATATTGTGATGGCGAGTGCACACCGGTCGTGATGCGCATCTTGAGTGTTTCTGTAAAGGAAAATCGAACAAAAAATAAAAGTTTTAATTCCCAAGCTTCACAAGCCATATCCCAATTGTGAGTGGTTTTGCATAGTTCACAGAAGCAGCTTCTAGATGAATCTCCTTTTAATTAGCACACTCACCTGTACGGTATTTGGCACACCATGTTTGGCCGGCAGATATCCAAAACATTTGTTCCGGCGTATAATCTAAGCCGGGCAATTTCGGCTCAGGGCCATTCTTCTCAACCCACTGACGGTAGGCTCTGTATGATTCCTTAACGCCACCGTTGTCAGCAATATTTTCGCCTTGCGTATTAATGCCATTGAGCTGGAAATGAAGAGGAAAAGCAGACAAAACATATAAAATTTAGGCCTTACAAGAAATTTACGGAAGTCACCTTGCCTTTATAAGGCGCACAAAATGGTTTGATCATTTGAGAAGGTGAAAGCAGGAGCCTTGGCGGTATCACAATGAGCCTATTGGCCTAAGTGTGCTGGTGGCACTAGCAGCCGCATCAAATCAACTCTCAGCTCAAGAAATTTACGCAGTCTACTCAGTTTACTATCTATCAAAATAACAAGAACCTCCTGTCAAAGGGTGGGATGAAATGTAATACAGTACGCAAAGTGCATAATGAGGAATCGCGTCTTTCAAGAGGTGGCCCTGTTTCTACGCCACCGAACACTATAGAATCTAGTAAGGTCTCTCTTGAACTATATGCTGGGGAGACGCAAGATTTACAAATCAAAGCCTTTGAGCTATCTCTTCTGAAATGGTTTTTTCTCACTGATGACCCAAAGCTTAGCTGAAGCTCTGCCGTATAGTCATATGTCGCCAGACACAACGTTTTGTCTGTCAAACTAGTGCAATGCTTTGAGGAAAACCTTACTGCAATTGCGTACGTCCAGGAAGGATACACTGATTTGCTCTTTCTCTCCCCTCTCTCTCCCTTCCTCCCTCTCTCTCTCTTTCCCCAACTCTCTATGTGACATTTTAAACAGCGCTTTCTTCTTTGAGCTTCCACATTTGTGACCAAAATTAATGCAACTCTCCTCAGATCCCTCTCAAAAAAGCTTAAATTCAAGCATTCTACTTACATTTAAACCAGTTTGTTCATCAGTGAAGTTGCCATATTGCTCAATAATACATTTCGCCTTATCCAGGTAAGCCTTTTGGGTATCTTCCGCCCACCAATCCAGCAAGTTGCCTTGCAAATCAAAACGGCGTCCCTGGTCGTCGAAACCATGTGTAATCTCGTGACCAATGACGAAACCGATGGCACCATAGTTCATGTACTTCGGACGGGCAGCATGGAAGAAGTGACCTTGTAGAATACCGGCAGGGAATTCTAAATTGCCAAGGAAGGTAAAATCAGTTAAAAAATGTTTCAAGGCCAAATTATTTAATTTAATTCAAATCAACTCACGTATACTATTTTCAATCGACGAATAGAAGGCATTCACAACCGCCGGACGAGCATGACGTACCCAGTCGGTTTTGTTCACCGGCAAACGCAGTTTATTGAATGAGTAATCCGTGCCGAAGATATTCATATTCAGGAATGACTCAAAGTATTTGCTCGGATCAATTTCCAAATTACGATAATATTCTTCCAATTTCGAATTTTCCAACATCTCATCCGGATAGCCAATGTGTGTGGTCATCGAATGTAATTTATTCTTAGCCTCCACCTTGGTAGCCTCATCCATCCAGTCGACCTCGCTAAGTATATTGTCGAAGACGCCACGAATTTGTTCTACCATATCCAATGCAATAGCTTTGGAGTCTTGCTTAAAATGCTTACGCACATACAACGAACCGACGGCAATGGCCAAGCTATAACCCAAAATGTGTACGAACGGACAATGAGCGGTGTGTGAATAATGCGAGCGACGAATGAGAGCAGGTTCAACAAATGATAATCGTAAGGAGCGCGAAATCATGGATGGAGTTGGTATGTTGTATGCATCGAAAAAAAAAAAAACAAACAGTTATAAATACGAAACAAAAACGAAAAATACAAAAAAAAATCAACAGTTTCACGAAACCGTAGGATGACGAACGATAACGAATGATGACGAAAAATGTCGTGTTATGATAATTAAATAGAAAACACGTTGTTTCGCGATGAGTGACGAATACGAGTACAAATTACGATGTAGCAACGATGAAGCACGATGATTAACGATGATTAACGAGGTGACCACAAACACGTTGTCGGAATGTTTTATGAAATGTACATAAAAAAAAAGAATAATAAAATTTCCATGATTAATTTTTTTGATTATGTAAAATAAAATTAATTTAATAATAATAAAATATTTTAATAAAGAAAAACGCAAATTTTTAAAATTGTTTTAAACTTTGTATATATGTATGTATGTTGTATATAATGAAAGCAACTGAGTAATATATGTGAGTAGCATTATGTGTGTTAGCCAGTTGCTAAAATGCAATTGCAAAGCTGATGACTTCAAAAAAAAGTGCAAAAAGTGCAAAAAGTGCAAACTAATTTAACGTAACTCAACTGGTATGCTTCACGAAGGGTGTTTTTTCAGACGTGTGGTTTTCAATAAGGCAGTAGCTTTTTCAAAATTGCTATTTTTGACAGCTGTTACTTGAATTATATTCAATTTGGACTGACAAAACAATGGCTCCGCTCACGCGTGGTCCAATATTCGCCCACCTGAATCGGTAATTCAAGCAACAATGAATCGGTTTCACACCATGACTACGATATTGTTGCTATGGAGAAGAGTATCGCAAGAGACTCGAGTGAGTCCATCCGCCATCGTTCGTAATAATTTGAGCTGTGCCCATTCACTTTATGGAAGATTTTACGGATGAATATTAATTTACAAAATCCAACTCGTTTAAAATTGAAGCCGAACGATCATCAATCGCGTCGCAGGTTCGGTATATGGGACCGAAATTAGATGGTTACTAATTATGATTTTCACAAGAAACATATTTCCTTTTTATTAATAATCAAAACTCTCAAATTTGGAGTTATGATAATACACAAGCCATTGTTAAGACGCCGTTACATCCTCAAAAGGACATTGTTTGTTGTGCTGTATATGCAGGTACATGGAATCATCGGTCCATATTTCTTGAAAAAATCAGCAGACCATAATAATACAGTTAATGGGGAATGCTATGGGATCACGAAACTTTTGGTGAGCGCATTATCTGCTGTCGCTGGACTGTGGCGTGACCTCCAAGATCGTACGATTTAACACCACCGGGTCTCTCGGATGGATAATTTTAAGCCCGCCGCGGCGGTCACTTACCCGAAATCATTTTTAAAACATATGGGAATATCCTTGTCTTTATAATAAAACTAAATTCTTGGTCATAACATTGAATTAAAATCTTTTTATCTCTTCTTGAAAACCACATGTCTAAAAAAAGCATAACAAACATACCATATTTAAAACAAAAATTATATTTTGAAAACATTGATTTTGAAAAGGGTATATATGCAGTTCTGTGTTTTTATATATGTATACTTATTCCAAAAACTAAATATTTTTAGCATTCTTAACCTGAAATTATTATTTCTGAGCTTAATCAAGTTATGAGCGCACAGCGATGCGATGGGAAATAAAGCAAAATTCTTGAGATGCTTTCGAAATATTGTACATCGTCGCTTAAAATATTTAATATGGAGAAACATATAATAACAAGCCCAAAGTCATCGCAATCGCTTGGAATATTTATTATAAAAGCGTTAAATTAGTACAAGCACCATGAGCTTTTACCTATGCTAGTAAACTTATTGCCAACCATATGCGAGTTTTCAAAATTTTATTTAAATATTAATGCAATCAAAGTTTATTTTTTAATAAATCGCGCCCAAGTCTTTTAAATTTTGGAACAGCGGAAGCAATCGCTTTTGTCTTGACATCACAACAGGATGATGCAAATGATGCAAAAAGCGCTTTTAAGGCAAAGCTGAATGGGTTGAGAACATTTAAATGTAAACGAAAAGATTTTAAAAAAATATTAAACTACAAATTATAAAAAAAAATATGTTTTCCCCAATGCAAAGTACAAATAAGCACAGTCAAAGCAAGAACTGTCATAGCAAAATAATTATAATATTGCAAAGCATTGTTGGGAGCAAGTAAAGCAGAAGCATAAACTACAAACTTCTATACCCGTCAACTTCAAATTCGATATCTCGCACGCCGCTGTAAGGTAAAGAACAAGAGAGACAAGAGGGTATACTTAAGTCTTTTCAACTTTTTTTGTTTTGCAAAATAACTTATAGGGAATGAAAATCAGCTCAAGCGAAATAACAACACATACACACATGCAGGAACACAGAAACAAGCAATTAACAGTTATATTTTACACCTCACATGTCGGACAAATAAATAAATAAATCTGGTAATACGTTATGCACTAACTGTAAACAAAGTAAAAATATTTTTACAAAAAATTAAACCGCCGAAAAACTTAAAACCGAAAAAAAATTATAATAATATTTTTAGTTAGCCCTTATAAATTAATTCATACGATAATGTAAATATGCCTTAATAATTTTGCTTTGAATTTCATTGATTAATTGAAAGCATTATGCGCGATGTTAACTCAACACGATTGGACGCTTCGAGTGAAAAGGTCAGGCGTTCCCGAAACTTTAGGCGAGACAGCAGCCAGTAGGACCACACATAAGGTAGGGATGGGTCTGGGCAGAGAACATTTTGGATAATCCTCCAAGAGCTGGAAGTCTTACAGAGTCTCACTTATATATGAGTTCTGTCAAAACAGATAATAACTAGACTAGACCGGAAAAGGTATCAAATGAAGCTGAAAGCAAAGCACTTGAAACATAGAACAATTTTTAATAGATGTATAATATATTTCTGTGTGCTTTCAGCAGTAGATATTGGAAACACGGCTACCGTTTTGGTCGAATTCTTTTCAACTTTTGAAGATCTCGTTTGGTGTGTTTTCTGGTGGGTTTCAAGAAGAAATCAAATGAGTTTAATGTAATGTTATGGCCAAGATATTAGCTTCAATATATAAAGTATGACTTGCCATTATATTTTGAAAATGATTTCAGGCAAGTGATCACCGCGGCTGGCTCTAAAATATTCCAGCCAATTTTCGACCACTTTTTGTAACAATTCTTTCCAAGGCGTGTCGGGCTTAGCTCCGGAGTAAGCCTGTTCATTATAAAATAGCGAACCAAACTGAGCATAAATCATGTAAGGAATCTCTATTAATTGTGTATTAATAGATTCAAAATTATTAAGACATTCGTTTAAGAATTTATTTATCAATTAAAAAATAAAACAAATCTTTTTTTTGTTTTTCTTTTTGTTTTCCGGCGGTTCAAATATTTTAAAAGGTTTTATTTCAAAATTTAGTTTGACCCCAATCTACTAACACAACATGCTTCACTTCTTAACGAACCTCACCAACGCTCTTCTTCTGTTTTTTGTTTTCCAGGTTATGTGGAACACCCTACCCATTAAAGAAATAGGGAATTATCCCAATTGGACTACGCGGTCAATGAATCTATTCGTTCTTTATTATCGATAGGACGAATTTGAAGCTATAACCCTTCCAATAAAAAATAATTACCAATATCGGAAAAAATTAATGAGTATTCATGCATAAAAAAAAATATATATAAATACGCTATGAATTGAGAAGCTTCCTTTCATCGTTTAAAGTTTAACCTTATAATCTACCACTCTAGGATAAAGCTTAGTATCAGTTTCTATACTAGTTTACGAGGAAGTACAACTGATGATTTTTAAGAGGTGCTCTTTACTTCAAGTCAGAAATACACTCGGTGTGGTTTATATTTATTTCATTTATTCTCCATATTTTTCGATGTTATCCGGATAGGTCTCGTATTTGGCCCTTCCGAAACAATTCCGGAATTGGTTCATCTGGCAGTGAAACCCTCAAGGGATTTCCTAATATCTTGCAAGAAATTATGAAGGCCTCTAGAGTAAAGTTCCTCTAAACTCTTATCCATGAAACAGGCTATTTTTTATGTTTTTACTTATATTATAAAGGTCAGGTCATATACAGCAAAATTTCAAGAGATAAGAAGAATTTCGTAGAGGCTTTAAGCTCTTTAAATTTACCTGGAAGCTTTAGTTTTAACAATGAATTTCATAGAGGCTTTAAGCTCTTTAAATTTACCTGGAAGCTTTAGTTTTAACTTCCAAAGACTTCTTAAAATTAGTTTAAAGAATTAAAGTGTTCGAGAAAACTATTCTTAGAAAAATTCCTCACTTAAAATCTTTACTGCACTTATTAGTAGGAAATAACTTAAAACAACAAATCTGTACGGAGAAAGAACTAAAGTCGAACTTAATTTTAAAAAAAGTTTGAGATCAGTTTTAAGAAAAAATATTGTTCACATTTTTTTACCTAGATCAATAGAAATTAATTAAATAAAAAAGTCATACTAACTTTTGAAAATCCTTTCATTGTCTGGGCTGATTTGTGTATTCCTAAACTTGTTTTAGAGAATCCATCTTTGGTAAATATATAGTTTCGAATATTTCTTACAACATATTTTTAGGTTTTCCCGATCTTTATCATAAAATTATTTCGACAAAAATTGTAGATAACAAATTACTTATAAAAAACGTAAATAGAAATATTATTTATTCCTAAGGCCCACCGTTTTTGATACGAGTATATGTATGTATAACGATACAAAAGTTGGAAGACTTGTAGAGTGAACAAGTACAAAGTATAACATGATGAATGAAATTCCTTATCCAGTATAAATCACTGAGACCTGAAACTTTGAGGAGGTGATCCGTATAAGTCGTAGGCATGCGATAAAATAGGATTTTCCGAAATTGTTTCCCTAAGGTGATATCTGATCCCAAAGTGTGTGATTGATTAGAACTTTTTAGATCAATTTATTATATTTTTTTTTTTTGTACAATCCCACCAACTTTGAACTGCATGAGGATTAAATATATATACATACATATAAAAAACTAGACATTAACCCTTGTGTGCTTCAAGTGCAAAGTAGATACTACAATAGATGAAGGCGACTGTGTTACTTAGAGTAAACGAGTTGTGAATAATTAATCTATAATTAACCAAGACAAATGGAAATACTAAACAAAACGTGTAAATCAGTCCAATCAAATTCAAATAAAAAATATAAAAAAATATAAAATTCTAATAAACTTAATACCCATCTACTTCATCTTCGATATCTTCATAAAAGCTGCAAAAAATAAAATAGAGATAAAACATATTTGTATGTACTTGTATATATGTATATTTCCTTAAAGAAAATTCGTAGGAAAATAATACAACAAGGATTTAACCAATGAGAGACTAAGCAATTAAAATTACCAACAACACAACCAATCGGAAACAATTACCACCAATTCAATAAAGAGTGTTGAATGAAAGAATTTACCAAAAAAAAAAAAAAAAAAATCAATACAGTTTTTAAATACTTTAAATGCATGCCGCTGGAGTATTAATAGTAAATATTATTGAAGTGCACCCACACACAACTAGAAACTACGTGACAATTTCGTAAACGTTTACGGCCAATTCAGTAGGGCGACATAGCTCAAAGAACCACAATCAACAACTGGCAGCCAAAACTGTTATTAGGTTTTAAAATTTTTTCTACGATTTTTACGCTAAATTCATTTTGAGAAGCAACCACCTACCTGCCACTTGTGATATCTACACATTCCTTCCAACGCGCCTCCTGTTCCTGACGCCCCGACAAAGCAGTCGCATATTGTAGTTGTCGTTTGCGGAATTGTTCCGAGAGAAAGACGACGGAGAAGGCGTGTATGCGCCACATCATGTAGTTGGCAATCACACGATTCGGTGTACGCTCCAACAAAGGTCCCAACTGTTCAAAGAAGCTGGGCACTGATAGGTTAACCGGCTCATCTTCATCCACTTTCAGTTTAGCCGGCAGCAAAGCGTTTGCGTAGTCCACCCATTGCACATAGGGATAGGCTTCTTGTAATTGCTTCAATGTGCGTATATTATAGAGATCGTTGGTATTGCGACGTTTCTCAGCTGGCCATGAGATCTGGAAATTTATTTCGAAAAATTTAAAAAAAAATATATTTTCAGCATCAACTACATACATTGGCCAATGCTATTTCGAATTCCAGCGATTCACGCAATTCACTCTGCGCCTTGTTCTTATCAGCACCAAATAATACCGCCATATCCACCATATAGTTGTAGTACGAGCTCACTAGCGTCTCATTGAAACCTTTCACAAGATATTCACGACTTAGGCCAATAGCCGATTGATCAAACTGTTGAGAGGAGAGCAAGAGAGTAAAGCAAAGCACAAAACTCCAAATGAGCCGACCAACTTACATCAATAATGCGTGTTGTGCTGTTCTTCAGATCCACACTAATCGAAAAGTCGATGATATAGTCCATGCTGAAGCCCATTTTACGGAATTTCTTTACAGTCTCTTGCCAAGACCAGCTGTTGTCGGCATCCCATGACTCGCCCTCAATCACAGGCCAACCACCGAGTTTTTTAGCAATATCGGCAATAGGTTTGGCATCGAGTTCCTCAATGAGAGCTGTAATAAGAAACACAAATATGGAATATGGAATAAGGAATGAGGTTTCATGCCCAATTATAATTTATAGACATAAGATTTCTCACAGCTCCCTTTAAAAGATTAGGCCTAAGATATTGTCAATACTCACTTTTGTTCATGCACGCCTTGTACAGTTTATTTGGCAGCTGGAAGTGGTTGGGCTCCGTAGCTGGGCGCTCTTCCGTGATAATCTCTTTGAGCTGTTCATGTAACTTATCCGAGATCAAAGAGAACGTATTCAGCGAATCCTTGTCGTCGGGTATCAAATGCTCATCAATGTACGTGCCGCAGACAAATTGATAGAAATCATCGCATGGCTCAATCTCCGGCTTCATTTTACTCAACACCGCCGAGGAGGTGTGTATGCATTCAGCCGAGAGGCAAACATCATCCTTTGGTGGTATCTTTGGTGGCATAAACACTTCATTGTCTGTGGTACGACTGGAGCCTTGAAGAGCCTCTGGCGGGTTGGTTGTTGCTTTGAGCTCTGAGGGTGGCGAAAATAAATCAGCAACGGCTAGGTGTGACCGTCTACAACTGTTATTCAACTTACCTTCCGCCAAACGATTTGAAAGTATAACAGAAACAAGTCCAATCACTAGACCGATTACTGCGATCAACGCAATAATACTGATCAAGACAAGGCATCGCTCCAGTGTGGTGCGTCTACGCCACCAATTCGGATTTCTAAAAGACAAGAAAAGAGGAAGTTGCTTGTAAATTGATAATTCATTACATTCATGAAACTGAATAAATTCAAATAAAATTTTAAAATATAATAAATAAGAGTTAATAAATTAATTGCATGCGCCGGTATAACGCGTTTAGACGCAAGTCTTTTAGCCACCTTTTCAGGCTGAGTTGCCGTAAAGTGGCATTTCGTGGTACTTCACTTTTCTGCCATTTCATCATTGATTTACAAAGGTTAATAACATCAAAGTCAAATGGCGAAGAAAATACTGGTTTCCGCATAAAGGAATTCCCGCTACATTTCCACCAATGAAGCAAAAAAAGAAGAAGATATGGCTAAGTGCAGTCATTTAAATCCAAATCGGAGCTGGAATTCAAGTTCAAACTACTTTACTTGCGTGCCAAATGCAAGTGATTCGATTTTTCTAAATTTTATTTTACAATTTTTGCCATAAACAAATCACATTTTTATCTGCCAATAAATTTCAAGTTCGCCGCTATAGTTGTGCGTATGTATGTAAGTGGGCGGGTTAGCAATCGGGCGGCTGCAGCAGGAAGTCACGTCAATTCACGTGCGGATATTCAATTTATGCAATGGCAAATTAACTCCAGCTGCGTGCGGAGAACTGGAATTGCCATTAGATACTTGGTAAGCAAAACAAGGATATAAGAATATGTAAATACACAAGTGAAACTACAGTGTGTTGTGTAGATTTGCCATGAAAAAAAAAGTTAAGGCAAATGTGAGAAATTTAAACACACTTAGCGGTATAACAGCAGAAATTGCTCTCTCCCTCTCTCTCCTTCATTAATTTAAATTTAGGCTAATGGCAGATAAAACTTTTGCGCCGTGTTGCGTGACAGATTGACTTTGACGTCTTCACCATTTTTCCCAACCAACGTAACGCCAAAAGTTAGTCAACTCTCATCTTTTTGCGCGCAGATTTTTATAGCCTATAATTTTCTTGATTTCGTCGCGAACTGTATTGAATGGAGGTGACCAAGTTTAATTATTACTTAACATATTTTTAACACCTTTATGAAAAAATGATTGAAGACAAAAATGTTTATTGTGTCATGTTTATCGGCTAAGCTGGGAATACAACTCAAAAAAACTTTAAAAGCCCATGGCAGATAAAACTTTTTGCGTTGCGTGACATTTCCAGCTTTACCAGCATCGAGACAAACGTCAATGCTATGACCTAATATATTTCTATTAATTTTCTCTCTGTAGGTTAAAAATCTCATGCATTAAAAGATAATTATGAAACTTATTTTGAAGTTTTCCGTTCCGATTCTTTGAAATTTGCGAAAGAATTGAAAAACTAAAGTAAAATTCAAGCCAGCTAATGGTCAACGCGCCATCTATTGGAATCGCGTTGGTGTCTGCATTGCTTATGCTGGAAAATATCATCGAGTTGTATATATTCACCTCACATGTCAAAGTCAATCTATCACGCAACGCGACGCTAAACTCCTATCTGCCATCGGCTTTAGTCTCTCACAATTTGTAACACTTCAGCGCAAAACAAATTTCACGCAGTTCATCGTTCTCGCAAAAAAATTATATTCCATTCATAAAGCTTCAAATAAATAAATAATATCAATCCACTCTTCCAAAAATATAGTTTGGAAAAAGTGAAAAAAAATTCTCATTGCCTTCATTCATGTGAAAATTCTCCATTTTCACTGCATATAGGTTTTTGAACCGGATTTGGGCGTGTCTGGTTTAGGTCTTTGGGATTTAGATATTTCGGTATTATATACTCGTATGCCAAATGTTGCGAGAGTTAACGTTATCCTAACTGCTCCAGCGGCCAAGTATACTATTAATTATAATATTATGATATTCCTTGATTATTTATTATATTTTATATATATTATTGGTGCTTTAAGACCGATGAAGCGATTTTCGGCCAAGCTCCTGCTACATTTTGTGATGCCAACAAATGCAGGGACTCGCAAGCAATGGATGGTTGATGGATTGCAATGAGAAACTTTTATTTCAAGTCTGAAGCAAATTCGCAGTGCTTGGCACTTTCTGCAATTAGATAAATTAATTTTTTTCTTGGCCTTTCGTAGCATTGTGCCTACAGTTATGTTCCTAATTCAATATCCATTCCTCGGTCCGAGCTGAAATAGTTAACACTTCTGTCATTTTACGGTTATATACTCGTATTAATACTAATTTAAAGCCATAAATATTGTTTTCGATGATTTTAAGAATATTAAGATTGCATTATTTATTAGCAACAACTTCAAAAAAGAATTCTGTAATCTAAATCTAGCCGATGAGGAATAGGAAGAGCAATCAAAAAATATCAGACGAACTATACATTAATCAAGACGCCATAAAATTTATCTTAATTAGCAGAGATTAGTCGCAAGCTGTGCTGATGCGCAGCAAAAGTCACAAGCGTCATATATGTATGTATATGTAAATATACTCGTGTGTATGTATGTACACGTACAAGGGTATTTTGGTTTGTTTGTAAACAGTGGATTAACAGGCGGCTATTGTTACATGTTTATACATAAATGTATGTACATATGTAAGTATATACCTATATGTGTATACATTTATATACTTTGTATATTTGTACATCTAATTTTTTTTTTAACAATTTTCCAAGTCTTTTGCGCGAAGACCAAACTTGATACCCTGTGTATTTGTCTTGCCAACGTCGGTTTTGGGCGTTGCAAACTTCCCAATTGCAATAATAGCAATAACAACTATAATAACGGCAAGAGCAATCATTAGTTTTGGCGCCAACATTTTTTCCGGCAGCAAGGCAGCAATAAATGTGGTTTAAAAATAGAAATGTGTAGCAATATGCAACAGGTATGTTGCACATTTATGTACACACATATATATACATATGTTTGGGAATGGAACTGTAAAACCGTAAAAAAAAATTACCACTCAAAAACTGGTCGTGTGGTTTTGTGCACAATAAAACAAAAGCAACAATTATTGGCAATTTCAAGCTTGCAACAGATGATTGCATTTGTAACCGTGTGTGTGTGTGTATGAGTGTGTGTATGTGCAAGTCTTACATATTTTATTTGCAAAGCCCGCGACTTTGCCGCAAAACTACTTGCTGACCATTGCTAGAAACTTGTTTGGTGATATTTATAATTTGCAGCTTCCTTTTTGATAGGCATACATATGTACACGTGTGTCAATCTACGTACGAGTACATATGTATGTGTGCTAATTGCTTTCTTTTATCTTTTATTTAATTTCCTTTTTTTCAAAGATGTCTTTCTTAATTCCAAGCTTGTAAATGGTATATAGGTAAATGCATACATATGTAGGCATATATATTTTAACTGTTATATATAACTGTTTTCTCATGAAAAATAAAAAAGTATGTCCGAAAATATAGTAATTTGTCACTTCAGTTTTATTTCCTTTATTATTATTTAATTTACGTAAATATGTTTATACAATAACAATGCAGTAGTACACACATACACATACAGAATTGCAGCTTTGACTTTTACTTTATATTAAACTATTTATTTATCTTGATTTTCCCAGTTTAACGGTCATCTTTCGACTTCCTCTCAACGAGGTATTTAATTAACATTTAACAAGTCAGGCAGGCGGACAGACAGGCAGATTTCATGCATTTCGCTTGTCATGTTTAGCTTCATAACAATAAAAAATGACATGCAAGCCAATGAGAAGACCAAAAAATATAAAAGTTTAAATGAATTTAAACGTATTTCAACAATCAGGAAAGATGAGAATATTCCCAGATATTTTTTATATTTTTCATACGAAACTTGCATGCTTACGAGCTGCATTTAATAAATATTGCTCTAGTAAAAACTAAACCATTATTTTTATATAAGTACGATTAGATTATGGTAGCTGGCGTTAGAAGATAATATTTTGTACCAAAGATGCTACCGTGTTGATCACTCAACAGAGCAGTGCTTGAGAGCAAGTCAAAGATGGAAACGCAAGTCAGTGAATAGTGTTGAGGGTTCTGATACTGTAAACAGTCAATTTAGGTATCGTCGATTATGTTTCGGTAATTTCCATCTAAAAGATACTCCACGGCTTGCAGGGCCAGTTGTTGCAATTATCGATAAATTTATGGATATCCTCAAATGAAAATGATAGTAATCGAAGGGCTGTGCGCCGGCACAAATGGTCTCCAAGCCCGGGTTGACGGCCAGGACGGTTTTTTTTTTTGTGTAATTGGTGGGATTGGCAAGGGATCATTTCTTAAAAACTACTACCCTGCGCCCAAACCCTTAATTCGGACCAATACTGTCAGCAATTGGACCATCTGGCCGAAGCAATTACCCAGTAGCGCCCAGCTTTGGTCAGCAGAAGAGAAATGGTGTTTCATCAGGACAACGCCAGACTATACACATTGATAGTGCATCGCCACTCACTTCGAGAGATTGGCTGTGAGGCTCTTATGCATCCACTTTATTGTTCGGACCTCGCACCAAGTGTTTTAGCTAATGAAGAATTGGCCTCAAGAAGAGCCTGTGAATATCAATTTCCAAATTTTTTGCCTATAGGGCTAGAGTTTCCTTGAGAATAATAATAAAAAGTGAATCTTGAATAAAAAAACTTTCGTTATTTTTTTTTGCAAACAAATTTTGTGGCCCTTGTCCATACAAAGCAATATCCAACAAAAACAATTGCTACTCAAAAATTTGTGGCGTTAGAGCTTTCAAAGTTATAGAAAAAAATTCCCAAATCTAAGTCAAAAATTCAAAAATTGCCTAAGCAACTAATTCCAACGCTTATTAATTTTGTAATTACGTTTTTAATCAAGGTCACAATTTTTTAGAAAAAATTCAGGTTATCGGCTTGCATAAAATGTATCAATTAAAAGCTAAAAGAAAAATTAATTAACCGACTTAGAAGTTAAACAATGCGAGACTTGACTCTTGGAATTCTTAATCATTGCCTCTGTGAATTTACTAATCAAAATAATTAAAACCGGTTAAGATGATGCTATTGCATT